TAACGGCAAAACAATCGGTCTGAGATTGCCTGAATGAGGTGGTCTCGACTCGATTGAAACGAACTCTGGAGCAGATCAATTGTAGTGAGAAAGCAATACAATTCGAGCCCGGCTATATCACAGTGTTTTATGCATATGTAATAGACTGATTTCACGCGGCCGCCATTTTCAAAAGCGAAATCGAGGCTGCGGTGGGAAGAAACCCGGAAGTATCATTGGGAGTTACATAGGTACGTTGTGTAACTGGCTGTATATCTTATCAGCGAAGATAAAGTGACACAAATTTATCATTTCTCCGCCTTGCGAGTGATCTGAAGGTCCGTTCTGAAGCAATGGTGAAAATAAAAAGGGATATCAGAGCTCATTTTCAGCTAAGTTAAGGGAAATGGCATTAGTTAGCCAATTTTTTCTTTCCCAAACACATGTTTTAGATGCCATTTATCAAACTCGAGTTAATAAACTGACTCTTTTACTATATTAGACTTGTCATGATACTGAATTAAAAGAAAAAACAACAATTTCCCGTTAACATTTAAGGCACTGTTGATGGCTTTCTTAAAACAGCGCTGATTTGCCATTGTGTTCATGTGCTCAACAGAAATGACTGTGATTGGACGAGAAGGTCATCATTCCACCCACCGCTGTTTACTGAGCACAAACACAGACAAGCCGAGAAGCCGTGCGATCTGCTTGATGACTCGACATCTTCACGGCTGCTTTGCGCTCCAGTCTGTGGATCTAGGTTTGCACTGGGTGAAGAGCGGTAAACTAAGTGCAAACACAGATACACAGAGATTGGAGTGCGAAGCAGTCGTGAAGATCAGTCGAGTCATCCGCGCTCAGCGGCGCTTCAATGTTAGCTGTTTTTAAAACTTTAGTACCAGGACAACACTATTACAGACAACACGAGGGTGTGCTACAGACGACTGCAGTGTTTTATCGCTCACCGAGTTACATAGGCTGAAGCATGAAAGCGTCCAAATGGTGTTTAACTGGTGCCATGAACTGAAGCCTTGGAGGACACTTGAGCATATTACTCCTACAGAGATTGCGATGTTGTTTGATGCCTAATTTGGCATCAAAGGGGGCGGACATTTTAGCAAGACGATGATCCAAAACACAGCCAAGGAAACTCATGCTTTAAGAGAAAGAAAATCAAGCTATAAAATGGCCCAGCCAATCACCTGACCTCAACCCAATAGAAAATACAAAGTAAAGCTCAGATTTGATAGATGAGCCCGAAAAAACCATCACGATTTTGACACTCTGTTCAAAAGCAATGCATGTGACTTCATTCTCCATATGAGAGGCGTCTTTAAGCTGCCATCACCAAAAAAAGCCTTTTATATAAAGTATTAAACACATTTCTGTAGTTCAGCTCTTTCTCCTTGTGTCATTTCATTATTGCACAACTCATTTTCCAGCGTCTGCTTTAACAGTCTGTCATTTCTGCCCTTCTGCAGGTTCTGTGGTGGCAAATCAACATTACCCTCTTATTCAACACGGTCGACACGGCAATCTCAACTACATTCAGCAGAAGAAATGAAGAAATGACACTTTATAAACCAATGCCCAAGGTCCTTAGAGGAGAAAAAGACTAACTTTGCATCGTTTGGTCATTTGGAAACTTTTTAAAATGAATTTTATCATTTTTGTACAGTTTTTAATGTGTTCTTTTCCTTTTATTTCTGTGTGTATCATCACAATGATTTTGTGATACAAAATGTCAAATATTTTAATACCCCTATTTTTGAAGGGGTCCAAAAAAGTGTTTTTATTTTACGTGTAAAATAAGGATTTAAATTGTATTCACTTTATTTTTATTAGCTGTATTCCTATTTTGCTTGCATAAGGACAAAGGCTTTAGATAGGAAAATCCAACATAACAACCTGATAAGACAATTATGTAGTGCCAAAAAACTTCCCTATAGCAAACCAAGAAAACAGTCAAAAAAAGAGCAGAAAAAAACTAGAAAAGACCAAAAAAATAAAGAAAAAGCAAACCAACATCTTCTGTGTTGCCTTTTATTTGCTTTATCCATTTGTGTGTGTTATCATTGCTTTAGTATGTATACATTATTGCTATGTGAAAAAGTAAGTAGCCCCTATTGAAGTTTTCCATAATGATAAACTAATAAGGTTCTTGGCAGGTCTTCAATTTTGAAAGATAATACCTCAGATGATTAACGTCATGTGACATCTCCCGCAGTGCCATTATTTAATTCAAGAAATCCTCATTTTCCTTTTTTCGGAATAGATGCGGTTCAGGATTTGCACCAAAGTGAATACAGACCATTTTGAGGGATGTAAACAAAAACAAAAGCCCCAATGTTTGGCATTTTGAGGGAATTTGGCAATTTTCAGGTGGTGTAATGATTACTAGATTTGCATTAATTACAGACCCATATGAAAGGGGTGGTTCTTTTTCTTAAAAAGTGGATCTTTTTGCAATTATATGACTCATTTTGTAGTTAATTATGAGATTTAAATACATTTTAAGCACTATTTTTCACTGAATTAAACTGCTGTCAAACTAGAGTTTGAGCTTGCGAAATCCTGTCATATGGCGCTGCTAAAAGGGGCGGGCTTAAACAAGATGATTAGACGTTTAAAAAGCGAGCGATTGGTCCATACTTTACATTTCTGTCCAAAGAAGTCATGTTTTATCTTCGATTAGTCTCATGCCATCAAGTGATGCGTGAGGTCAGAGTTCACCAAGCTTAAACTTTGCAATACAGTGAACTGCGAAACTTGATGCACTTGATGTTTCCGGTCTGACGCTTTAGCTTGTCGGCAGTGTTGCCAGATATAGCTGACATTTTCCAGCCCTAAACCCGCCAAAATGCACCAAAACTATTTAATTATAATTGATTTAAATCAAAATTAACCTAGTTACTTTAACTATTATAATTTTTAGCCATACAGCAACCAACACTAGCAGACACAGAACCACAACATAACCGGATCACATCGAAACACTGCCCCCCTTCTCACCCACCCACTGCACTTAATGTTAGAGTATGTTTTGCTAAATTCATCCTATTGTTTTAAACTCTCTTGAACACAATTAGCTGCTGCTTGTTAATCAGACAATGCTACTATGTTTGTTTTTGCTGTTAATTCTGGAAAAAAAATGATCGATAAAAGCGTCATGATGAACCGCTGTTTATCATGAGTTTAACTGCAGGCGCTTTGTGATGCGTGTACACGAGAAGGGGAGTCATAATAAGTTGCAGAAAAAAGTTACGTTTCAAAACCGCCCGAATTTTGTCAACCCGCCTATGCCTATTTTTTTTACCCGCACAATCAAATTTAGAACAGTCCAATTGGGCGGGAAATCTAATGGTGCGTTCACACCGGACGCGGAACGCACGTCAAGCGCGAGTGATTTACATGTTAAGTCAATGCAAACGCGTGAATAGACATCCTGAATTGAGCGTTTTGCGCGTTTGATGCGCTTAACAACCGTTTCGCACGAATCTCTCGAGTTCGAAAATCTGAACTTGCGCCGCGTTAACCAATCAGAAGCTTGCTCTTGTAGTCACGTGATTATGATGTAGAACCTGTTGATGGTGTCCCAGGGGAAATCCCCCTGGCGACACTGACAACAAGTCATCAAACTGGACTTGGCTCAGTCAGAAGCACCGCTGAAAGTCTCTGTCATCCAGGTTCAGTTTCTGGAGGAGTTTATGAGCTCACAGAGCTGGATGCACCTCTGAAAGGATGTAGTGGACTCAGATACGGCCCTAAACGTATCGATTCTGTTTTTCAGTCTTCATAAAGTACATAAACCCTGTTATTTTCTTCATAAAATCCATGTTAGCCGTTTAGCTATGAGGCTAGAGTCACCAGGCAGACAGGAGCCCTGCCATCACGCGAACCCGCATCTGTTCTGAAGTGAATTTGAAGCGATTGAAGCGGGGTTTGACGGGCGAATGAAGCGAGTAAACTCAAATGTTCATGCGGCTATTTACGCGTGAATAGTGCAATTTATCTGCGCGTACCGCATCTGGTGTGAACACAGCATAACACTGCTTGTGGGATGGTCATCATAACCACACTTTTTGATTTACTAAAAATATTTGTATTATTTATTTATTTATTTTATATAATTACAGATATTACAGTAGGCTATTCCACAATGATCTACAGTTATAATCAGATCATGTTAATAGAAAGGTGAGTCATAAACATTTATACACAAGTATTTATGAGAAGTGCTTCTCATGTGATATGTAAATGACCCGTACAGCTTTAATTTGACATTTCCTTGAGCACGAATGAAACTTTGTTGTACACCAAAAGGGTACCCTTTAGGTAGTGGAAATGCAAGCATGATAAGGGTGACCTGTAACGGCCCGTACCGCACTGTACCACTCAGTGGAAACAGGCCATTATTATAACACCAGAATGAGAGTTATTAGCCATACAATCTTGGAAAATAGGTATTTGATTGATTTCAGAATGATAAAACTCAACTTTTTAACTCTATGGGAGATGCTTATCTGGGATAAGATAATTTTATATGGATAATTATGTCCTAATATAGAAACAATGGGAATGAATAGGGTGTATCTTTTCAAGTCACTATTTTCCATGACTGCAGAAAACTCTAGTGCTTTACCTTTACCTATGGTTTCACTCCTATCTTCCCACGCCTTTCCAGAGCTCTTACATAATCTTTTAGTCGCACGCAATGTTACTGTATTAGAGAGCATTGAGATTGTCAGTCATTTACCAAACTTGCTCAACTCGTCCCCTATATGTTTGTTCCCCTTTGGACAGTAGAAGTGCTTTTGACATCTTTTAATCCATTCTTTAATTCTGGGAGTGTTGTGAAGACATTTGATCTCATCTCGTCCTTTGTGTCTTGAACGTTTAGTTCCTCGCAGCTCTATCTGTAGCATTTATATGCAATCCTAAACTTGGCCAGTCAAGCTCTGTCTTTCTGTCTCCTCCCTCTTCTGCTGTTATAAAGCTCCTGACCCTCTGCTGCTGTTGTGTTTGTCCTGCAATCAATCTGCCATCATGTTTGCGTCTCTGCTCAAGTTAGACCTGGCCTCCGTGGGCTTGACTCTGTTTTTAGGCCTGATTTTTCTGGTTGTGTTCGAGATCTTCAGGATTCGTTCCTACAGTGGTCGATTTCCTCCTGGCCCAACACCTCTGCCTTTTGTGGGAACCATACCTCATTTCTTGAAGGATTCAATGGGCTTCATAAGATCTGTAAGTCTTCTTATCTTATGCTGTTATTTATCCACTACCTTGACTTCATTCACAGTTAAGACAACACTAGCTGTATAGTAATGCTGTGCAATCTTCTCTGATCAGTTATCTCAGTATGGAGAGATGACTACCGTGTATCTTGGGCGAAAGCCGGCGATGGTGCTTAATACACTCCAGGTCATAAAGGAAGCCATAGTCCAAAATGGTACATCATCTTCTGGAAGGCCGTCGATACCGATTTTAACCTGGATCACTGAGGGATATGGTCAGTAAAGTAAACCTGAAAGCAAGTTCATTGCAAGTTATTATCAAGCTGATATCATGGCTTCATCATGGAGAACATGTTCGAATTTAAACCAATTTGTAGACATAAAAGAATTCACCAGTCCTAACTGCTCGAGATCTTACACCTGTTTCACACTGCAAGCGTCAGCGGCGCGTGAGCAGCGCGTGCGCACCGCATATGGAGAGCAGAAGCAGCACGCTGGCGTTTGCCTTTCACACCAGCTGCGTCTGCAGCGCGCAGCTCTTCGGCAGCTGCTGCAGAGATCAACCTATCTCTGTCTATTCTATCTAGTTACCCATGTCTCTCTATATACAAATACACTTTTAAAACTTTTCATCTGCACCAAGACCCGTGGCAACTTCCTCCTTTGCTGTTTCTTTAACCTGCAAATGTTTAATTTTCAAATTTTATAGATTAAATAGTAGGCTACTGTATGCTTCTCAAGCTCTATGAGGAGTGTCTACAGTCAGAAGACAATCGCCTGTGATATCATGTCATTTGGTTTTTGATTATCAGGTTGCTGTAGATCTAGTTATAATAATATTTATACAATATAGTTACAATGATATTTATACATGATCAAACTAGTTTTACTTTCTCCTCTTCAGTGATGTCCAGCGGCAGAATTACAGCTCATTAATTCATGCTCGTGCAGAGGATGAGACGGAGAAAAGTAATTAATGCATGCCATTCTTTTACTTATTTTGGTGTTGTCAGGTTCACAGTGCAAACAGCTCCCGGTAGGAATAACTCGAGTTAATATAAAACAAAACCGAGTAAAACTTTCTTCCTCTGCTTGAGCTGCACAGCACACAGCGAGCTCAGATCATCCAGCATGCGTGTCGAACTACACTACCCACAATACACTTCGCTATGGACCACAACTCCCCTACATATTCTATTTCCCCTCTCCTGAAACACTAGCGTGCAACTTAAGCAAAACTGATACTAAAATTGCTTTACATTTGGTTTTGTAGTTCGGGCCTAAATAAATGTTTTTTGCCGTTTTTAATCGTTTAAGTTTATTTGATTGACTATATATAAATCAGTTGATATTATTAACTCATTTATTGGGTACAATTTCTACTTTTTACCATCATTCATTGTATTTTGGTCATTATCAATGCACTGTGACTTTTAGCGTGTCAAAAATAGACCCAGCGCCGAAACTATCGCTGCACTGCTGCTTCAGAAACTCTCACGCCTCGCGCTTACGCGTTACTGCTGCATGCGGTATGAAAGCTCTAAACAGTTAACATGGACGCCGAAAAAACATGTGCTTCTCACGCTCTGCTCACGCGCTGCTGACGCTTGCGGTGTGAAACAGCCGTTACAATTAAAACCTCAAACATCAAGGGCCCTATCATACACCCGGCGCAGTGTGGCGCAAGGTGCGACGCAATAGTCTTTTGGTTGTTTCAGCTTGGCGCAAGAGTCGTTTTGAGGCATTGCGCTACGCTGTTTAAATAGCAAATGCATTAGCGCTCATATGTGCGCCCATAGGCGTTCTGGTCTATAAAGGAAGGCGTTCTGAGGCGGACCGCTGGCGCGTTGCTATTTTGGGAAACTATAATAGATTTTTCATTAGACCAAAACTAAACCGGTCTAAACTCCAGCGCAGAGTTGCGCCTCGCTTACGCACTGCTTAATACGCACAAAAGAGCAATAGGCAAATATCTTTACATATGAAAAAATGTAAATATTAAGGATATATATAGGATATTATAAGAATAGATATAGAATATAAATATAAAGGATTAAAATATTACAAAACATATTATTTTCTAGCCGACATACATATGAAAAACCACTGCTTTTATGTCTTCTTCATCTCGGGAGGCTTTTTCAGTTCATTCATAACAATTTGCTTTTGTATAATGTTATTATTATTAGCAGTATTATTTATTATATCCATATTTATATTTGTTTTATTATGAACAAGCTTAGATTTGCCCACCTGTCAGGTTTTAGACCTTATGGGGCACAGCATGTGTTTTAGGATATAACTCAGGTTTTTGAGCACATTTTGTTTTTATTGTTCATTTATTCATTTGCTGGAAATTAGAAATGAATTTAGAAATAGTTTTGAAACGAATATTTGTGCTTAACAAAACAAAAAAGTATTTATTTATAGACTAATTGATGTCTGTGCGTAAAGGTTTCCCTATCCAAGAGTGAAAGTAAAAGTGATCCATTATCTCTCATTCTCACGATGTAGCTGCTCTGTTTAACAGTTTTCTGTTAAATAACTGTTTGCTAGTGAAATGCTCAGTTTTTCCACTTAGACTTACTTTGCGTCCTGTAAATAGCGAATGCGCTCTTGGCGCGACGCAGCTGGCTCTTAATGGGAATGGGAGATGAGACTCTGATTGGTTTATTCTCAAAACACACCTATAACTCATTAAGAAAATAAGCTCAACCCTTTTAGAACATGTGCCGCAGCGCAAGGCAGATTTTTCGTCATTTAATTAGCAAAAATGCGTTCTGACACGCCCTGAAAGCGTTTGCGCCCTGCGTTTTGCGCTCTGCGCATGTACCGTCAAAATAGAGCCCCAAGAGTGTATAATGCGTTTCAGTCGTAATCTGAGGCTCAAGCGTTTTTTTGCTGGTTGTTTAGATCAGGAACTCCGCCAATCAACGGGTCCAAGTTCAACTTTGTTTAGATCAGGGGTCTCAAACTCAATTTACCTGGGGGCCGCAGGAGGCAAAGTCTGGGTAAGGCTGGGCCGCATAAGGGATTTTACAAAAAAAAAGTCCTCAAATGTCATTATTAACAGTTTTAATTATTTCTTCTGAACATGAAGTGTCCTGAACATTAATAGAACATTGAGTGAAGATTATGAACAGTTCTTCTGAACATGGCATCTTTTGCCTACTCCTTACTGCCAGAGACTTGACAGCGCTTCTCCTCACAAATCTGAACCACATTTGGCTTTAGAGCGGAAGCAGTTGAGACCCTTAGTATGGCTTGCGGGAACTCACTCAAAACTTCCATTCCCTCACCTAAAAAAAAGGCGTATATATGTATAAATAGAACACCCCCACTCCAGTCACATCAGTCTGTACCAGTCTGTATCAATCTATAATATATATAAGATGCAGGCTGTAGCTAGGTAGGTGGCAGGCTGCAGCTAGGTAGCTAAGTGGCAGGCAGGGGCGGGAACAGCTTACCTTGGTTCTGGCCGGCGCGAGTTCCCTCCTAACACTTCCCGCCCGTCACACCGTCTAACAAAGGGGCGGGGTGCGTGGTGACGTCACCGGCATCCCCGCCCCTTTGTTTACAGGGCCGGGAATGCCAGTGACTGCTGTGTACGGATAGAATCAGCGGAGCGGGGAGCGCTCTCTCTCCCCGCTCCGCTGATTCTGTCAGTGTACAGCGGTCGGTGCGGGCCACAAAATATTGCACTGAGGGCCGCAAATGGCCCGCGGGCCGCGAGTTTGAGACCCCTGGTTTAGATAGTCTTGCTCAAAATGTTTAAGGGTGGTAAACCTTGTTCAACTGTATTGGCGTTTCCTAAATTTTATAAGGTACTACTAAGGCTGCACGATTCTGGCTAAAATGAGAATCGCGTTTTTATTTTATTTTTTTGTTGCTTAAAATAAAGATCCTGATTTTCTCACGATTCTGTAGATGTAAAGTAAAGATGATATGAGTCAGCAATTATTATAGTTTTTACTCAAACATATGGTAAAACAACAATAATAATATTCTGTGTAGGTCTACTGGTTTCTATAAATAATTATATCCTACTTATAATAATTCTGATATTGAATTATGTTTGAGAGATAGGCCTATGCTTGCAATTTGTCATTGACAACGTTTTTAGACCATTTAATTCACTGGTAAAATCAACATTATATAGGCTAGAGTAGTTATACTGACACTGTAAATATTTATTTTCATGCACAACTGTGTGTTCGCTGTGAAATAAAAAACATCAATTGGCACAGAAATGGGAGCGTTGTTTGCAGTATTGTCTGTTTTAGGCGCCATTGTGCAGTTATTCATTTGTTATGTTTAGTAACAACTCGACCTCGTCGTCTGTCCACAAAAATTCCTCTCTTGCTTTCTTTGCCATCGCGTTCATTGTTCAACCGACGTTTGTTGACTAACAATAACCAAATGCCGAGCGAGACACATGCTTCCTGTTTATTCTAGAACGCGCATGCCCAGAGTGCGCGAATGGTCACGTGATATACGTTTTTGGTGGCGTAGTGTGGACGGAGAAATGTTCAGAAACGCTAGTGTGAACGCAGATCGTTTTTGATCTGAAACTCCGTTAAAACTAAAACGCATTAGTGTAAACGGGGCCTCAAAGTCAACATTAGTTAATCTCACTCAAAGTCAACATCAGTAACAGCTACAAAATGCACACGAACACAACCAAACAGACAACACACTAAAACGACAACAGCTGATCTCTTCCCGTTGCCACTTCAGATATAAAGGGCTCTGCAACGAGCGTGATTGGCAGAGAGAGAAGAAGTCGTCACAACGTTGATTTAGATTGGCAGGCCTGTCAGCCAATAGTGCTCCGAAATAGGCGGTACCTCTGAAAATGACAGGGCAGGGAGAAAGAGAGAGAGAGACAGAAAGAACATGCATGCACCAAAACTGTGCAGTTCCTAACGGCACACTTGGCAATAAAACCGATTCTGATGTTTAGGTTATCTGTCTTTTTTCAGCTCGTCTATGTATTATTTTGAATGTTTAATGCCTGTCCGCAGGAATTGTATTGGCCACATTTGGTCACTCGTGGAGGCAGCAGAGACGGTTTGCTCTGCACACACTCAGAAACTTTGGTCTGGGAAAGAAGTCTGTGGAGGAGCGTGTGACGGAGGAAAGCGGTTACCTGGTTCCTGAAATGCTCAAATTGGAAGGTCATCCAAGATTTTTAACATCTTTTCACTCTTTCATTCTTTAAAAAAAAATCTTCACCCAGGTATGGTGACATCAGTCCCTGACCAAAAATTTCAAGGACATGGTCCCACTTTAGGAATTTGGATGTGTTGATTTGCTGTAATGGTAGCAAGTCTTAGTGGTGTGGTTGGCTTAAAATGTCTTTAAACTGGATAGCTTTTATTTAGAAAGTTTCATTTGATTGGCAAAGTTCTCTTAACTTTAAAAACAGTCCTTGCTAGAGACTAACTCATTCTTCTTTGTTAAAGGCAAGCCCTTCGACCCCCAACATGCAATACAAAATGCCGTTTCCAACATTATCTGCTCCATTGTGTTTGGGGATCGATTCGAGTATGATAATAAGCGATTTGAATACCTTCTGGAGATCATAAAAGAAAACATCAACCAGGCAGGGTCACTTATTGGACAGGTATGAATATCTGGTAAATATGCTAGCTTTGCTCTGTTTTTGTTTCCATGAGGTGGACGTAATTCAATGCATTCTGATTGGTTAATTATACATTTTAATAATCTTTTCAAATTTGACATTAGTTCACCAATGGCCTTAAAGATGTAGGTAGAGGAATGAAACTCATAAATGTTTAGAATCACTTGAGGGAGAGTAAATGATGACTGATTTTAAATTTTTATTTGAACTACTACTAAAGCCTGGTTTATACTTCTGCGTCAAGTGACCCACGGCGCATGCAACACGCGTAGCTGTGCATTTATACTTCTGTGCGCTGTCTCTGTTGGTCTGCATTAACACTTCCAAAACGCTAGTTGGCAGTGAGGTGCAAATGTTGCTCTGTGTCGAGTTTCTTCGCTGCTGTTTTGCTTTTCCTGAACACTTCCGGGATGTACAAGTGGCTCAAACTCGCTCATTTTAAGGCAGGAACCGGCGGACGTGCAACAACTTTAACTATGAGGTAAACACAAAACAAAACTTTCCATCTGGAGCTCCTTCACGGGACTCCACACTTGTAAACAATCCATCAGGCTCGCACCATTTGCGCAGCTCTCGGTCCCGCCCAGACTCGCCAGCGCTACCAAGCTGACCAATCACAGAGCTTGCGCTACACGTCGTTGCGATGTGTAGTTACATTTTTTGAGAGGTGCACGTTGGCGAAGGGCTATGCGTCAGCGTCGTAGCATACGCGTGCGTTTGACGCAGAAGTATAAATCAGCCTTAATGTTTAACTGTCCCACATTTCCATGAGAGATGCTCGTTTTTGAGTAGGTTAGAACTAATCTATGCAGGAATGTGGTACACAAGCAGGATTTGACAGTTGTTGAAACTGAGACACTTGACTCAACATTTTCCGTTTTTCTTTTCCAGGTCTTTAACTTAATTCCCATTATCAAGCATTTCCCAGGGCCACATCAGAAAATCTATCAGAACGCAGAGGAGTTGAAGTCATTCATCAGGGAATCAACCAAATCACACAGAGAAACTCTGGATCCAGACAGTCCACGAGACTTTATTGATGCCTATCTGCTGGAGATGGAGAAAGTGAGAGCGACATGATCAACCACTCTTGAAAATGTATAATATGCTGTCTGATGGTAGTTATTGCATGTGAAAATGTGATTCTGTTAAGTAAAACAAGCTCCAAGAAGGATCATCTTTAGTAACTTGCCAACTTTGAACTTGTACCATTAACCCTTATAGTAATTGTATTCATGAATCAACATCATCCTACAAGGTGAAATCATGTAAACATGTAGTGAAGTAAATTTTCATGGGTAAATGTTTTTGTTTTTTTCTTTGAACAGCAAAAGTCCAGTCAGGACTCCTCATTTCATGAGGATAACATGGTTATGTCAGTGGCTGATTTGTTCTTGGCTGGAAGCGACACTACAGCGACCACCATCAGATGGGGACTCATCTACCTGACTCAAAACCCAGATGTACAAGGTAATTAACATTGACAATGTGTCTGTGGCTCAAAATGTGGAGATTGGAGTTAACAGTAACTAGGTATTTGGATGGTTGAAGTCAAAGAAGTTGTCTGTTGACCTCTGAAATGGAATATAATGGATTGAATACAGATCTTGGGAAGGGTACAGAAACACATCTGCAATGTTAAAGGTCTCAGTGAGCACAGTGTCCTCTGTAAATCAGAGAGGTTTGGAACTACCAGGACTCCTGGATACCCCTTTTTCACCAGCATGAACCAAGTGATAATTCAGAGTTACTTCTATTGAAGTTCCGGTACTAGTTCAGCTAAATATCCACCACAGAGTCAAGTCTATTATCACTGAATGTGCTTCATCTTTCCTAGAAACCTAAATGCGGAAGTGGCAAATACAAACATGACATGACGTTGTGTTGCTATTAATGTTATTGGCTTTGCTATTCTAAAGGTGTCACTCAAAACAATTGTGTTAGCATAGTTGACCACAGTAACACCATCTTAAGCTTCTTACTTTAGAACCTACGCAGTTCTTACTTATAGCCCAACAGTGTTTTGGTGCTGTTCAATACATTTTTGTAGTTCAGATCCAATGCTTTAGGTCAGGGGTTTTCAAAGTCTAAGACAGTGGGCCTCCCTTTTGACACAACTTATCCATTGGCGCCCCCCTCCTCCCAAACACGCACACACACAAACACATATATATATATATATATATATATATTAAGGGTGGAGCCGAACCCGAATACGGTATTCGGAAAGGCACGAATAGCGTGTTTTTACGAATACTTATTTCGAACAAATACTTGAAAAATTATTTGTATTCGGGAGCAAGAAAAGCATTACATCAAAAAGCTGCGTTTCCTCCTGAGACCACAGTGCATGAGTGAGAGAGAGAGAGAGCGAGAGAGAGAGAGAGAGAGAGAGGGCGGGGCGGAGGTAAAAGGTCTCTGGCACACGCTTCTCCGCAGCAGCAGACGGAGAAGGCTCGGCTGAGCGAAAAAAATGCTTCTCTGCATCACTATTTTGTACCTTAATTGGGTTCCAGATGCAGTTTATAAACTTGTAGCGGAGTTTGTTCGGGATTTTCCATTACGCTGCATTTTTGAAGTTTGCAATCGGGTGCTCTGTTTACGCAACTTTAGCTCTGTTAGCGCGGTAATTTAGACAATAGACTGTTGACAGAGTAACATTAACGTTTGTTTATAAAGGTTAAAACGATGCTTGTGCTGTTGTGTCGAATAGTATGCACTTATGGGAGTTATATGGTACGTCTAAATAACTGTCTTTTGCAGACAGCAAGATATATGCTATAGGCTAGTTAACCTTAGCATAGCTTCCCGTCACTTTTTATTAACTTGAAACTCCTCAAATACATTTGGGCACCATGAAAAAGAGTGAGACTGCTGCTGAGCCATTTCTTAGTCCTCCACCAGTAAAAAAAAATAAAACTTCATGTTCTTTGTGGAAGCATTTTACAGTCAGTGGTGCTGCAGATAAAACAAAGTGATACTGTATAATGTGTGCAAAAGTGAAATCAGCAGAGGCAGAGATATTAAACATCTGTCAACATCTTCTATGCATAATCATTCATTTTCTTTTCGGCTTAGTCCCTTTATTAATCTGGGTTTGCCACGATGGAATGAACCACCAATTTATCCAGCACATGTTTTACGCAGTGGCTGCCCTTCCAGCTGCTACCCAGCACTGGGAAACATCCATACACTCTCTTTCGCACACATACAATAGGGACAATTTAGCTTACCCAATTCACCTATATTGCATGTGTTTGGACTGTGGGGGAAACCCACGCCAACATGGGGAGAACCCAGTGCTACTCACTGTGCCACCGCGCAACCTTCTATGTAATGTATTATCACATGCACTAAAAGCGTTCTCTCCTGATACTGTCTGTGAACCCCCCACAAGCATCAATCCCCTCAATCAGCACAGCTATGTTCTGCTAAATCCTCCACAAGCACCAAACCATCAACACAGCCACATTCTGCCAGATGACAATAGCAGGGCTGTATCTTTTAGTATTATATAGAATACTTTTGTACTGCCAGATCTCCCAGGCAGGGTTTTATTTAGATTTATTTAGTTAATTTTAGTTTTTGGAATTCTGTGCATTGGAACAAAGTTCTTTCTGAAGAAGAACAGTTTTTTTGAAGTATTATTTGTTTTAGTATAGACAGACCCTATACTACCCCCCCCCTGTATTGGCAGGCTTGCCAGACAGAAGCGAATTCACAGCTATGGCCTTCTGGGTAAAAAAGGTTTTCTTATTTTTGACGTATTATTTTTATTATATATTTTTCCCGCGCCTCCCCTGACATGCTCTGGCGCCCCCCAGGGGAGGCACGCCTCACACTTTGAAAACCCCTGCTTTAGGTGTTAAAAGACAAAGATCCGATTTTGAAGTAGACTCTTGCCTCGAAACAGTACTCAAACTATCATTGTGGGGAAGAGATAAGAGTGGCTGCCTCGACAAACTGAGCAAGTAAGAGGAGAAGAGCCTTAGTTAGGGAGGTGACCAAGAACCCTATGGTCACTATGAAAGAGCTCCAGCATTTCTCTGGGGAGAGACCAGAACCTTCCAGATGTGCAACAATCAGGCCTGTGTGGCAGAGCAACCAGACAGAAGCCACCCTTCATTAAAAGGGACATGACAGTCCAGCTGGAGTATGATAAAAGGTACTTGTAGGACCCTCAGACCACAAGAAACAAAGTCTATAGTCTGATGGAAGTCAAGACTCTTTGTCTGAAGAAAACGAGGCACCTCTCATCCTCTAGACAACACCATCCCTACAGTAAAGCATGGTGGGGCATCATGCTGTGGGGATGTTTTTCTTAAATTTTGCCAGCACCCAATGAGCTCTCTCAATACCAAGATCTGTTTTCTGAGGAATCTCCGTCAAGTTGGGTATAAACCTCTCCATAAGCTGTGTCATCAATGCCCCCTTGGCTTCCTCAGGAACATTGTAGATCCTTATATTTTCCTGTCATGACCTCCCTTCTTGGTCGAGCAGTTTATTTTCTTGTTGATTCATCACTTTTATCATTTTGCTCATCACCTGTTCTAAGTTTTGAACACATTTTTCTGCTTTTACAATTCGCGTTTCCGCTATCTTTTGATTAACGCTAGTGAGTTCTGTGATAATACCACATAGTTGCGGTTTTGTGTCTCTGGAAAAGTCCCTTCTCTCCTCCAGAACTTTTGTCTAACCTGCCGTGTCACTCAGGTGGGTAGCGTTGTTAGCATTATCTTCGCCATCTGGTATGTGCGTGAGAGCTAATGTCTACGCTTTCTTCATATAAAGTTTCTCCAGCTGTGCATTTTTTTTGTTTCCGTCTCTTTTTATACTTGTCCCACTTATTAAGCAAGACAAGCCGAGAAAACAAAATATTTGATGGTTTAATGAGGCTTATAAACGACTTTCTAATGCTGTGTTCACACCAGACGCGGAACGCTCGTCAGGCACGAGTGATTTACATGTTAAGTCAATGCAAACGTGCGAATAGACATCCTGCGGCGCGATTTGCGCGAATAGCGAGACGCAAATGGCACGGCGCGAATTAAGCGTTTTGCGCGAATCTCGAGTTCGAAAATCTGAACTTCAGCGGACATTCGCATCCCGTTAACCAATCAGGAGCTTGCTCTTGTGGGGGCGTGATTGTGACGTATCGCCTGTTGTTGGTGTCCCGGGGGAAATCCTAGAGCCGACACCTACAAAAAGTTCATCCAACTGGGCTTGGCTCAGTCAGAAGCACCACTGAAAGCCTCTATCATCGAGGTTCAGTTTCTGGAGGAGTTTCACAGAGCTGGATGAACCTCTGAGAGGATCTAGTGGACTCAGACACAGCCCTAAATGTATCGACGCTGTTCTTTAGCCTTCATAAAGCACATAAACACAGTCTTCATGAAATCCATGTTAGCCATTTTGCAATGAAGCTAGAGTCAGACAGAAGCCCTGCCCATCACGCGAATCCGTGTCTGTTCTGAAGCAGGGTTTGATGCGCGAATGAAGTAAACTCAAATGTTCACGCGGATATTTACGCGTGAATATTGCGATTTATCCATGCGTTCTGTGTCTGGTGTGAACACAGCTTCAGAGGAGCCACTGTTTAAGTTCCCATTCAGATAAATGACGTCACTGGAACCCTCACCAGGATGTTTTTTAGTGGCAGGCACTTCTGATTAAAACCTATCCTAGAGCACCCTGGACCTAAGAGTACAAAAGAGTGGCTATGTGAACATCCTTGAGTGATCTAAGAAGTGACCTTTGTTTTGAAAACTGATTGTTTTGTACTTTTGATCTTCACTGTACTCCAAAACTGTAACATGCATGTTTGCATTTCTAGTGCGCAAATTAAACTGCTGAATCAGGATGATAGTATAGTCTGTGCAGCTACTTTGATGCAGATTACATTGTACCAAGTTTAAGAAAGGGTTTAAAGTCACCACACTCTATGAACTCAGTGAAAAAGCTTTCATTCAATGAAACTCAGCTTTGATTTTGTTCCAGAGCGATGTCATGAGGAGATTGTTCGGGTTCTGGGTTACGACCGCTTACCATGCATGGATGACCGTGACAGACTGCCGTACACGCTCGCCACTGTTCATGAGCTCCAACGCTGTGGAAATATTGTACCATCGTCTGTACCACATGAAACAACTCAACCAATGAAACTAAGAGGATATGACATTCCCCAGGTGCTGAATGAGCATATGTTGGTTGGTTTGGGAGTGAAATTGTTAAATGAAACTAACAAATGTTGTCTTTTTAGGGAACTCAGATGTTGATTAACTTGTCAGATATTCTGGCTAACAAGGAGCACTGGAAGCATCCAGACACTTTCAACCCTGAGAATTTCTTAGACGATAAGGGACATTTCTACAGACCGGAGGCTTTTCTTCCTTTCTCCTTGGGTGAGTCGCATGAAAAAGATGTCATCAGTAAACCAAGCAGGAATTGATCAACTCTGATTGACTTTTATCTTTTCCTCCAGGTCCGAGGGTCTGTCTTGGTGAGACTCTGGCTAAGACTGAGCTCTTCCTCTTCATCACGTCTCTCCTTCAGCGGATTCGTTTCTCCTGGCCGACTGGTGAGAAGTGGCCGAACATGGATGGGATTGTCAGCGTGGTTCGCTCTCCTGAACCATTCAAAATCATCTGCCATAGCAGAGGCTCAAAAGAGTGACCATGCCTTTCTGACATTTACAGACATTTACAAAAAAATCTTGTAGCGTTGAGCCTTTTACAATAGATAACAATGGTGCTGTAAAACCACTGTAAGACTGTGATATTACAAGATATTCTGACAAGTACTGTCACCCCCTAGTCAGTACAGGTGCACACTAGCTGTATATCTTTCATAATCGACTTATATTGACATAGATCTGTGACACACACTAGCCCCTTTCACACAGTGATACCGGTAAATATCCGGAAAATTTCCGGAACGACTTTACCGGTATGTTCAAAAAAACGCTGTTCACACAGGCGAGGACGTTACGGAATTTTTCCGGAAAAGAGCATTCACACATCCATTCCAAAATACCGGTAAATTCTGACATCATTCACCACAAATGAGCTTTAAACGGCTGCGCTTGTATTTGTAAACATTTGACTAAATTACAAACTCTGTGGATGATCAATATTGTGAACAACTTTCGCAGGATCACTTTCGCATGTCGAGATGTTCATAATATGTGCGTGTGCAGGCGCTCACAGGCTGTTTCACAGGCACACGCAAAGCTTGAAGGTAAACAAACAACGGCTTATCATAAGCATCTCATCGATGATTATTTACACAGTTGGCATTAAGAAGAACATATAAACGTGATCTGACTAACTTCTAGCAGCTAAATGTGTCTGGAAAAATATTCAAAGGCTTTTATTCTCACAAACCGCGCGACGTAAATGCGTCTGACTGTTGTGATTGGCTAAAGCAGACGTTTCACGTCAGCATGTTCTAGACGTGCACGCTCTTATTACGGCAATCTTTCTTCTGCATTCACACAGCGCAGCATTCCGGCAAATTACCGGTAATGTTACAACTTTTCTTTCCGGAAAATAGCCAGAACGAATTTACCGGTATTTTCAAAAAGGACCTGTTCACACATACAACCTTTCCAGAAAATTGCCGGCAATTTTCCGGAAAGGTCTGTATGTGTGAAAGGGGCTACTGTTAGTGTTTATAATCATGGACATTATTGCACTCTGTGCTTAATTAAAATATACGCCAAAACACACACAATTGCTTTTCATTACATTTAGATTCCTTCTCCAACATTTAAATTGAGTTGTTGCATATATTAAGTAATTCATATATTAAGTAAGGTCTTGAGCATTCCTTCTAAAATTATTCATACAGAATTGAGTCCAAATATGTAAACATTATTATTTAATTCAATTCAATTCGTCTTTATTTCTATCGAGCTTTTACAATCTAGATTGTTTCAAAGCAGCTTCACAAAGAAGTTCTAGTAAATTGCAACCGTGTAAGTCCAGATTTCAGAGTTGAAGGTCAGTGTAGTTCAGTTCGGTGTGGTTTAGATTTAAGTGTTAGGCCTTTCAGCAGTGAAGAGCAAATCCATAGATACGCAGCTCCACAAGTCCCAAATCAAGCAAGCCAGTGGCGAGGAACAATCTTCACCAGTTGACGAAAGTGAAGGAATAAAAACCAAGAGAGAAACCAGGCTCAGTTAGGCACGACCGTTGCTCCTCTGATTAAACTTCTTGTGCAGAGCTGCAGTCTAGGTGCTGGAGGCTGGAGAATGCTGGACTTCTATCGTTGAGAAGCTGCAGGTGTGAGTAGATCACCAGCAGGTGTTCAGGCTGACCCACTGGATCAATGCGAAGACTCGTCTGTCACTGGGGTCTTTCAGGAATCAGTCCCAATCTCTCCACTCCTCCATAACCACAACAGCGTCAGCTCAGGATATGGTCTGGTCCAGGATTATGGACACCTTGGCATCATTTCTTCACAGGTCTTGGATCACATCAGTGACACTGCATAATCTCTAGAGGCCTCAGGATGAGTATCCCCAGATGGAAACGGAAATTAAAGAAAATAATAAGTGTAGCTGCTGTTCATAATGTATTTAAACACAAAATGCAAAAATTAAGTGCTATAAATGAAAATAGTAGTTATATTAACAGACATAGAAACAAACATGTTTGTGTTTCTAACAAAATGTCAGGTGCATTAAGGTTTGTCAAGCCCAATTACCTGCGTATAGCACACTCATGCATTGTACCGTTATGTGATGCATTGCGTATATGCTTTACTAAACAGATAAGTCTTTAATCTAGTTTTGAACTGAGAAAGCATGTCCGAGCCTCGGACATTATCAGGAAGGCTATTCCAGAGTTTAGGAGCCATAAATAAGAAGGCTTGACCTCCTTTAGTAGACTTACTATATAGAACATAATTTTCTATTGAAATATTTTACTAAATTCCAATGTAGTACCTATGAAGTAGGTGATGTAGCAATAGTCAAAGTCTAGACATCACAGCTGCAAACAATAACCAGCTTAATTAAGCAATGAGAAAGTAAATAAGGAAATAGACAAGTCAAAACAAACTGAAAATAACTACAAAAACACATTTAAATGCAATGCATTTGGAAGCTGCTCTTCCAAACATCAGCTTTCAACAGTGACATTTGTATTACAATTATTACATTGAGCTGAATCAGTTTAACCAGAACTCCAGCATTCTACCACTACTCTCCTACCTGCCTGCCTGAAATCCTGGTATGTAACACCACCTATAAACATGTACTTTTTGTTCTTAATTTAATTTAAGCAGATCTTCTTGGCTGTGCCTAAATGCCAAAATTAGTAGATTTTCTGGCATGCGATATAACAAGCGATTGAACCAGTGTACCTAATAATGTGGCCACAGAGAAATCATAAGCAAAGCCCCCCAATTGCATTGATCGTTTACTAAATTCTTTTTGTTCACCTTTTTGTTCCTAGTGCAGAAAACTAGTACTTGAAAACTCTTAGGAATGCTTATGAAACATTTCCTCTGGAAATAATAGGAAATGAGAAAAAGGGAGTGTTTTCCTTCTCTTGTAAGTGCCTGCAATGTCTGAGCCTGATCTTTCATAGATTACATTGTCCTGCAAAAAGTAGCTGAATGAACTCCAATACTTTTTGTCTTGCTATTTTAAGGTGCTTGCTTCAATATCAGTCCTGGAGGGCCAGTGTCATTTCAAGGTTTAGCTCCAATTTGCCTCAATGCACCCAACTTTAAGTTTCAAATATACCTAGCAAGACCAGGGTTGGAGCTAAACTCTGTTCAATAGAAAGCAAGGGTCTCAAGACGTTCAAAGTCCAGAAAACGAAATAAAAACTTTGTCAAAACATTCCATGTGACTCCAGTGGTTCAAATGTAATCATACAATGCTCCAAAGAAAACAATTTGTCTGCCAAAAAAAAAAAAAAACTGTTCTGCATCAAATAAGGATGCGTGTCTACTATAAGCAATGTTGCATGGCCGAATATATTGGCAGTAAGTCAGACTCTCTGTGGTAAACACATTCCCAGATGAACTTGTGAGGAAAAGAAAACATTGTTTTTAGGGTTTTTTGGCACACAAAAGTGTTCTTGATTCTTTCTGGAAGCCAGAGCCATATCACTCTGCAGCCCAAGACCGGTTACTCACTGAAGTTAAGCAGGGCTGAGCCTGGATGGGAGACCTGTGGTCTCTGAATCTGTGGTCTGTGAGAGTCCTAATGCCCCAGTAAAGTGAAGGGGATGCTATACTGTCAGTGGGCATCGTCTTTCGGATGAGACATTAAACCGAGGTCTTGACTTAAAAATCTCATGGCACTACTCGTAAAGAATAGGGGTGTAGCCTGGAGTCCTGGTCAAGTTCCATCCATCGCCCCTTACTGATCATGGCCTCTCAATCATCCCCATCCACTGAATTGGCTGTATGACCACTCCCCCAATAGCTAATATGTGGTAAGCGCACTGACGCCATTGTCCTGTGGCTGTCGTCGCACCATTCAAGTAGATGCTGCACACTGGTGGTGATGTAGAGAGACCACCCTCATGATTGTAAAGAGGTTTGGGTGTATGGGTTTAGCTTCAACCCTGGTCCCACTAGGTATACTTCAAACTTAAAGGCAGGTGTATTTTTGAATTCCTTTTCTAGCCATCTTAGGACCCTTAAAAGTCTTAATTCACAAGGCTCTCTACGTTTCCCTGCCAGACGCTAACTTGTCATTGTCTCTGTTAAAGCTGTTTGACCCCCAACATGCAGCACAGAACGCCTTTCCAACATTATCTGCTCCATCGTGCTTGGAGATAGATTCAGTCAAGATAACATACACTTCACATACCTTTTCGAAGTAGAATCTCACTCAGGCGTGGTCACTTGTTGGACAGGTATGAACAAGTGCTAACTGTGTTGTTAGCTTTACATGTTCCTTAAGTTTAAATTTAGCCAAAGGTTTATCATAAATTACTGTCTGCATTTCTGCAAGCTGTCAACACAACTGTGCCCTTGGTCATCTATGCAACATCAGCACTTCGCTTTCTTAAAAATGTGACATTTTTGCAGTTTTTATTTTGACTGCAGTGATGATGGATGTCTTCATAAAGAGTGTCTCCTATTTTATGTATCTGCTTGTTGTAATGGAAATTCATTTTTAGATGACCTTTATATATTAGAAACTTGTTTGAGACTCATTTTTAGATGTGCGTGTATCTGTGTTCTCCATATGTTCGCGATAAAACCTATGTGTACATTTTTATACATAACTATATTTCTCTAGGTGTGTGCTTATGTGATTATCCTAAGAATTTCCCTTATCTGCCTAAGGGCCTACTCACACTATGCCATCCGTACCGTGCCCAGGCCCGTTTCCCGGATCGTTTGAGAAGTGTGAGTGCGCTGAATCGGGCTCAAGCACGGTTCACTTGGCCGGCCCTGGCCCGGTTGGAAGAGGTGTACATGAGCGCGGTACACTTGGGCTTTGGCACGGTACGCTTGTGTGTGAGCGCGAAACGCGCCAAAGCCCGAAACCGAAAGCGAGATGTGACTTTTAAGGGACTGTTTGATATGGATTTATTAATCATTCTTACTGTTCAGTGAACGCAAACTGCCGTAGTTTATTAAAGACGCAAACTCCTCACAGCACGTCAGCTGCGCACCTTCAGCAGACCTCCTCATTCCTGCAGCACGAGAGCTTTGATTGTTTATGAGCGCCAAAAGTGGCGGATCTGTTCAGTGAAATATCTGACTGCGTGTCACCGCATCCCTAAGGACTGTTTGGCGAAATATTTGACTGCATATCACTGCATATCAAACGACTGAAAGGATATAACTAGAGAAATCTCCACTGTGCTGGTGAGTGAGAGCATATGGCAAGCCGTTTTAACATTTAAACCTTGTTCTGACTATCCATAAATATATTTAGAGATATAATTATATATTTTGACAAGTCATTATTATAATTCGACTTGTCAGAATGACAATTAGAGATATCTGCAATTACAATTGTACTTGTACGAAATCAGATTGGAGATATCTGCAAATATATTAAGACTAGTCATATTCCTCCATTGACTTCCATTGAAAAATATTTGCAGATATCTCTAACTGAGTTTTGACTCGTCAAAAATCCAATTCAAGATATCTACAACTGTAATTCGACTATTAGTAAATTAATTAGAGATATCTTCAAATATATTTGTAAATATCTCTAAATATGATGAATTAAAGACATCTCCAAATGTATTATGACTAGTAAAAACTCAGAGATATCTCCAATTACAATTGTGACTAGTCAAAACTCATTTAGAGATATCTGCAAATATTTTTCAATGGAAGTCAATGGAGGAATATGACTAGTCACAATATATTTGCAGATATCTCCAATCTGATTTCGTACTAGTACAATTGCAATTGCAGATATCTCTAATTGTTATTCAGACTAGTCGAATTATAATTATGACTAGTCAAAATATAATTAGAGATATCTCTAAATATATTTATGGAGTCAGAACAAAGATTTAAATGCTAAAAAGGCTTGCCAAAGAGAGCGCTTCTGAACAGCGCAGCAGCGATGACGTAAGCGTGCCGAGGCCCGATATGGTGTGAGCGCGGGCCGTCGGGGGAGACGGGAGGGGGGACAAGCGTGCTTTGGCCCGGTTTGAGGCAACTGTACCTAGTGTGAGTACGGCCTAAGTGGGGGTGAACACATTTCTTTTCTCTGGGTACGCATCACTGGAATT